AGTGGACTTTGTTGTTGGTTGATGGTTCCTTTTGCTGTGCAGAAGCTTCTATTTTGATGTAGTCCCATTTATTTTCTATTTAGTTTCCATTGCCCTAGGAGCTGTGTCAGTGAAGATATTGCTTTGGCATATGTTTGAGATTTTATCTATACCACCTGTAGATTTCTCTAAGGTTTTTATGGTCCTTTATCTATTCTGAAGTTATTTTTGTCTATGGTGTAAGTTCGTGGTTTAATTTTTGTGTGTTTGTGTGCGTGTGGTTTTTGTTTTTTGTTTTTTGTTTTTTTGCATGTATCTGTCCGATTTTCCCAACACCATTTATTGAAGAGACTGTCTGGACTCCATTGTATGCTCTTGTCTCCTTTGTCAAATAGTAATTGAGCATAATGGTTTGAGTGGGTTTCTGGGTTCTTGATTCTATTTCATTGGTCTATATGTCTGTTCTTATGCCACTGCCAGGCAGTTTTGAGGACAGTGGCTTTGTAATCAGCTTTATATCTGGCATTTAGATGCCTCCTACTTTGTATTTCTTTTTCAGGATTGCTGCAGTTATTCAGGGCCTTATAAATATTTCTCTCTTTTCCGCAACCAGCACAGCTAGAAAGCAGACAGGAGTCCTGAGTAGGGGTGATGGGGATTGAGAAAATAAAAGAGACAGACACAAAGACAGTAGGGAAAGCTGGAATCAGGTGGGATAGCTGTCCTGTGATGGAGAGGCAGTGATCCAGAGCTGATACAGCATGTTTATTTTATACAATAAGATACCAGGAAGTTTTACTAAAGTTTAAGATAAAGAAAATATGTGGCCGAGACCAGTTTGGCTCAGTGGATAGAGCGTCGGCTTGGGGACTGAAAGGTCCCGGGTTCAATTACGGTCAAGGGCATGTACCTTGGTTGCGGGCACATCCCCAGTAGGGGGTGTGCAAGAAGAGGCTGATCGATGACTCTCTCTCATCGATGTTTCTAACTCTCTATCTCTCTCCCTTCCTCTCTGTACAAAATCAATAAAATATATATTTTTAAAAATATGTGCATTCTTGTGGCTTCTTTGTAATCGTCACTTCTGGGTGGGCCCAGACTATTGAGATTGTTCCTGATGCCTGGCTGGATTTAGAGAATGAAATCCACCCCCTGCCGCCTGACATAAAGGCCAGACTTACAATTCACCTGCCTGTGACAAGATTTGTTTCCAGGGCATGACTCTGCCAGGCACCACTAGACTCAGATGACAGTCAGCTCAGGGGCCTTTTCCAGGCGCTCTCTACATCTCTCTCTTCTTTGTATTTTAAGTGTAGTTTATGGGCATCTATTGTAATTAAAGTCTTTGGACTTGAGATCCCAGGAGCTTGCTGCTCACTGAAAGAAAGCAGGATAAAATTAATGGTACACAAAGAAATCCTATTAGGTACCAGGTGCTGTGTTTTAACATTTTCCACGGATTAAATAATTTTAAATTACCCAGCAAATTTTTGCCAGTTTCCCTGGAGGTATAATTTCATCATGACTATTCTACATGGCTTGCACATGTTTGTGTAGCCATACTATGTCTATACTGATACTATTATGATGCCATATTCCCTGTGGGTGCATCTTGATTTTACTTCAATCCCATAGAGGACTATCATAGTGGGCTGAAGTCACACAAAAATATGTAAAAGCAGCGGCATTGCAGCTGCTGTCTAATCTTGACACTTTCTAATTGATTTCCTAGTCCTATTACTATAGCTTCTGAAGCATTTAACTTTGTTTCTAGCCTTTTTTTCTATATCTTCTTGATCATGAAATGTAGTTGAGGTGTTCTGAGCCAATTCGTTGACAAATTTCGCATTCTGGATGCTTTAGGTCAATGCAAGAGAAGCAGTTACAGCAAATGCAATAACAGTAACTTGGGTAACAATACCAAAAACAGTAAGTTCCAAAGCACACTTTTCCTGGGACAGCTGATTATGTAATTCCTGAAATGCCTGGAGGTCCCATCATAATACCATTTTCCTATCATATTGTTAGGAAGCATAATAAAAGAAGGCTGTTTTAAAATTAATATATCTTCATTCAGATTATGCCTGGAAACAGCTTATAAGGTTATAGTGATGGCATTGGACCAGCATAATAGGTGTCCAATCTGGTGATTTTCACATTTCTAGTCACCAATACATATGGAGGCTGGACACAGGCATGAAAGCCATAGCAAGGGCTCAATGAACACGCTCCTTTAATATTAGCTAAGAAAGAACCAGTAAAATTAAGAAAGTCAAGGGCAGTGGCTAAACGCCAAAGATCTTTGTTACCCATCAAACCCTCCTGGTGACATAGGCTCGTGATGGGGATATTTAGCATCAAGCATGTGAGACCAATCCAGTACATACAAGTCAGAGCCAGAATATTGTCTCACTGGTACAGAGTTGGCACATTCTTGCCACTGAGGAAATGCTCCCAGCTCAGTACTGGGCTAATAGGACAGTAAGGGAGCGTGGGGGGGGGGGGGGGGGGAGGAGTTTGAAGGGAGTTGCTAATCAGACAGCCATCGGGTGACCTTAGGAAACCCAAGTTTATTAACTGTCTAGATATATTTTCCCATATTCCAGGGGCCTGCAATATTAGCAATATCTGCGCCTCTATAGGATGTCTTATTTTCTTGGCCAAGCTGTAAACATCCTGAAGTCCCCTTTTTAGATAAATAGAGAGCTCCCAGCTAAAGCCATTATAAGTATAATTACCATGGGAAGAAGGAGTTATGTGCTTGTCAGAGCTACCCCCGACCATATTGGTGTTGTTAATAAACACTGGCACTGATTTCCTGGTCCAGGTGGCTGGGTTGACCACAGGGAGGTCTGGAACATATGTCCAGTAAGTTTCTGCTGCAGCCATACTTACCTGGCAGCTGACAAGTGCCATCATAGCAACAAAAAGGGTAGAGGGGCTTACTAGAAAGCGGTTCTTTCACCTCTTGCCAAGCATCAATGGTCAGCTTCTTCAGTTGACCCTGTGTGGGGTCACTAAGCTTCTCAGGTGGCCTTGTCACCTGTCTTCTGCTTTTCTCCTTCTTTGGGGTTGGTAGATGAGCTGACATCATCATGGGAGGTGTGATCTTTAGCTTCTTGGATGGCGGGATGAGCTGTTCTCCCAGGTCCATGGTTGTGATGCACTGCTTGCTCTTGTCACCCAGATGGGGTTAGAAGTACCTTCTGGAAAGATACAAACGTGCCCTCTTCCCCACATCATTACTGGATCTGGCCCTTTCCACTGCCCTGTTTGTAAATCCTTCCATCATGCCATACCAGCAGATGCTATGGCACCAGGAGCTTGATGCCTCTCAGCTGCTGTGCGACCCTCATTGTCACAATTTTTAAAATTTAAAGTGTAAAGAGTATGATTTAACTGATTCTGTGGAGTAGGATAATACCCCTCTCCCCCTTTCTGTTTTTGTAATTGAGTCTTTAAGGTCCAATTAGCTCTTTCTACAATTGCCTGTCCTTGGGGATTATATGGAATTCCTGTTTTATGTACTATTTGGTATTGCTTGCAAAACTGCTGAGAGGAGGAGCTAGCATAGGCAGGTCCATTATTTGTTTTTATCTCTAGGGGCCATCCCATGACTGGAAAAGCCTCTAGGCAGCGGTTAATTACAAGATAGAGAAAAGAAACATTTGAGGCCTTTTAGAGTCTATTGGGATGATTTAAAGTCAATTCTAGGTCAAGAAAAGTTTCTTAAAATTCAAACCCTTGAAGGATTGTCAAACTTGATTTTACCAAAGGATTATATATTAAAGTGTATGAGACAGGAATATAGGCTAATAAACTTCGGTGCCTACGATTAAAATATTTTTTAAATATCTGATTAATATTACATAATTATTTTACTAGGAAAAAAAAAACTAAACAAAATAAGGCTTATTTTCTAACTTCATTTGTCCTTGGGTGACACTAACTGGATTTCTGTTATCAATCTCCTGGAGTACTTTGACATAAGGTATTTACCCTCTGGTTAGGGAGGCAAAATACAAATCATTGACTTTTAAGTATCCTTGGTTGTTTAGGAAAGACAGGGTTTTCTAGATGGTTGCAAACTGCTGTTTAAATATCTGTTTCCCAGTTCTGCTTGTTCCCTGGATTACTGGCCTGTATCATTTAATCAATTTCCTTTTAACATTTCTCTTTTCCTTCTTATCACATACACAACCTTCACAAATTTCACACTTCCAAATTAGCCTTCAAATCTTCCTTCCATGTCCTTCAAAAATGCATAACCATGCCTCTATCCTTCTATTAAGTATCTCTGATATTCTTTCTTTCTGTCTTACCATCAGCAGCATGTACAGACCTTTTTTTTTCTTTTTTTTTAAATGTATTAGCATTCTTAGAAACCTTAATTTTTCAATGATAATTAAAAAATAGCCAGTATTTCTTAGATTGACATTTATGAACACACTTTAAACATACTTTTACTTTCAATAAAATATGTCTTTAACAAAGTACAAGAGACCTTCTGTAATAAAAACTAAGAGCAGGTGAATTAAAAATATAAGTTTTAATTCACCTGCTCTTAGTTTTTAGTGTTTTAGTGTTTTATGTTATTTTAAAATATGTTTTAAAATGTTGACAAAGTTCATCAGTTTTTACCCTCATTATTTATTATATGACCTGATACCTTTATTGCAATACTTCTTTATCTATTAGATTTATCTAAAACTGTTTTGGGTTATTTCCCAAATAAATAAGAAATCACTCCTTATACTACATGGAAAAATAAACTATGTAGATACACTTAAATATTTACTGTAATACCAATTACTATTCTCATGTTTCTGTTCGCATATTAAATTTTTACTACTGAATGGCAATGAACTAACACTGAACAATATTTCTGCTTCCATACATGCTCACTAAAGTAATGTTTATTAGGATTTTAATAATTATATTTTAAAACATACTGTTCCCCCACACTCCTCTTTAATTTTATATAATTAACAACTGCCTTTTTCCTTTTTCTGTTGTTTCAGTTAAAGGATCAAGAAAGTTAAGTCTGCCAACAGATCTTAAGGCTGATCTTGGTACGGTAGGCAAAAGCCAACAATTTTAAGTTCTCTTACATTCTTTTGGCTGAACATTTTTACCAACCAGTCCATGAATAACACAAGTTTCTTCGATGGCAGTGTTTGATGTTTTTCAAAAAAAAAAAAAGCTTTCTGAAAATCACCATACAGTTCTGTTGGCAGCATTCAACATTTTATTTAGTAATCATTTTATAAAATTATGTTTTACAAATCATTACACACAAAGGTATATAACGTTTTGTTTTCTTTTTATCATGAAAATGTTTTTAACATTCAATATTCGAGCATTGGGTCCTCTGTGACTGTTATCATGTAAATTAGCATCATTTTCTTCTGGAATTATTTTTCCTATATTTATATAAGTATCATTTAGAAGTAACGCTACTTTTAAAAAGTCTGATATACTATAAGAATTGAGGTTTGGTTATTTTTTTTTTATTCTAGGGAAGTTATAAAAAATTCTATTCACTTTTAGTTTACTTTTTTGTGGTGGTCACAGCCTTAGTCTTGATTCTAAGTCTGAAATGAGTAAGACTTTATTAATAGGCCTTCATATATTTTTATTTCAGAACTTTTATCTGCTTGTTCCAACATGGCTTTTCTTTTTTGATATGTAATTGAATTACCTTTTTTTTTTCATCTCCTTTATTTTGACTTAAAACCATAGCATTAAATTCTACTTAAAACCATAGTATTAAATCCTACTAATGTCATGGTTAAAATAACAAAAATATAATAATTGGTCTTTGCATTATTCTTGAGAATTTACAAAAATGTTGCACAGATGCTATTAGTAAATGATAGCTTGAAGATTTGAATCCAGATCACAGAACATGGTACCCAGAGTTTATGAAGCATAGTTACATTTCTACCAATGTCTGTTTTGCCATGTCTTCAGTTACCTCCCTTCCTATGCTTCATTCTCACTATTTTCATACATACTGAAAGCAAGATCATTTATGAAAACTCATATATAAAAGATAAAATAATCATGTGCTTGTTATTTTACTAAAGGGTATTTTACACTTAAAAGGACTCATGATAAAATGTCATTAAATCTCTATTTCTAAATATGTAGTTAACGTAATTTTATTTTTAAAACTTGTTTCTCACAAATTTCTACAAAAAAAATTATAAGGCTTCTGATAGAGGATATTACAGGATTATTCTTCCAGGAGAAAGATGAAAATCTTGCCATTTACAACAATGATGGACCTTGAGGGCGTTATACAAAGTGAAACAAGCAGACAGGAAAACAGATATTCATGGTATCACTTATACGTGAAACCTAAAAAAAAGTCAAACTAATAAACAGTAGAAAAGTAATTGCCAGGGGGTGGAGGTAGGGAAAATACAGAGAGGTTTGTCAAGGGGCATAAACTTTCAGTTATAAGGTCTGAGGATCTGATGTATAACATGGTGACTGTAGTTGACCACACTATAATGTATAATTAAAACTTGCTAATAGAGGAGAACTTGAATGTTCTCATCAAAATAAATATGAGAAGTGATGGGTCTGTTAATTAATGAGATGGCGGGAACCATTTTACAATGTACACATATATCAAATCACCACAATGTATACATTAACTGTTTTACAATTTCATATGTCAATTATACCTTGATGAAGCTGAAAATCTTAAATATTGTTATTTCAAGTTAAAACATTTCTATTCATCAGTAACAAAGTCTAAGGTAATGTTTTCAGTAAGAGATTATTTTTCTAAAGATTGTAAATTTGGTCCCAAATAATTTGTAAAAATCTGCCTAAATGGATGTTTAAATGCAATAGAAATTAAACTTGGAAGAGATGAGAAATTGATGATAAATAAAAAGGAAACAAGCTCATTGAAAGGTTGGATTTCAGAGACTAAACATTAAATTCAGAATATATAAACCTTTACCCATTTAAGGCATTTTAACTTTGACAACAAAATCATAGCCATGAAAACTTTATAAAATAATAAAATTAAGCTGACTTCAAGGGAAGTCTGTGATTCAGTCTCTGGTCTTTGGCTTAAAATTCTTCAGAAAAATGTCCTAAAAATAATAGCTTAAAAACCTCAAAAGTGTCAGCAAAAAAAATGTATATAAATATATAGCCTATTCTTATTTGTCAAAAACACTGAAATAAAGAAAAATTATATAAACCTCAGTTCTGGTGAGTAGGATAGCAGAGATGGTCTTCTGTACCAGGCCAGCAGTAGCACAGCTCCTGGCAGCTAGACCCCAGCACCAGCAATGCTAAGCCACTGACTATGGTATTGTAACTATAAGTAACTCAACATTTAGTTACTTGTGGGAATTGTTATTGGCTGCAAAGTTTCTGAGTATACCTCAAAGGTTCTTCCTAAGAGTTTGAGCTGCCTAGTAACCTTTAATAAATTATTTTTCTGTTTAAATTAAGCAAACAACCAACATCAAATCAATCAACAAGCCAACCTGGCCTTCACCTAGGGTTACATAACCAATGATTAAGAAGGGAGGGGAGGAAAAGAAGAGTTATTGCTTAACTATAAAAGAAAACACATGTATAATAATGTGGGCTTTCAAACATTTTAACCAATTACTTAATATAGGCTGTATTTTATATGGTCAAATGCAGTCTTTTTATTTCACTTATTTTCATTGTTTTTAAAAGTCAACACATATGCCAAAAACGGTTTGGCTAAGTGGATAGAGCATCGGCCTGCGGACTGAAAGGTCCCAGGTTCGATTCCGGTCAAGGGCATGTACCTTGGTTGCGGGCACATCCCCAGTAGGGGGTGTGCAAGAGGCAGCTGATTGATGACTCTCTCTCATCGATGTTTCTAACTCTCTATCCCTTTCTCTTCCTCTCTGTAAAAAATCAATAAAATAAAATAAAAATAAAAAGCCTGTGACTAGACACTGTCAGGTTGCTTTCAAAGCAACACAAAATAAAAGTCTCCATTGTATAACACCCAAAGCAAAAATTTTTTGCAAGTGGAAAGATGGCGTCCATTCCATTTTCAAATTAATTGACAGATTTTCTTAAGCCCTGCAAGGTCACCTATAAGGAAGCTATAAGGAAGCCCAAGCCTCCTGGAATAAGCCACAATTGGCAGTCCCAACTGAACTCCGCCTTTGCACCATGCTAGCTCAGGCATGTGAGTAGAGAAGCCTCCAAAGGATCCCAAGCCCCCGGCCATTCAAGTATTCTGGAGGAAGGCCACAGGCATCATGGGTAGAAGAGCTGCACCTTGCCTCAGCTACTTAAATTATGGGCCACAGAATCTGTGAACATAATATTGTGATTGTGATTTTACATCAGTAACATTTGTAGTGGTTTTTTTTTTATGCAACAAGAGCTAACTATCATATGAAATCATATATATTTTATGTTTTAATTTTTAAAGGGCACCATACTGTTACATGATTACATACAACAATGTACCTAAAGTTTTATGCTCAATTTTAAAGGATAGCTCATGTCCAATTTTTTTCTATAAGAACTAAAACCATGGTAAATAATTTTATCCATAGGGGTTTTTGCCTTTCTTTTATATTAGCATCATTTATTTATCATAATTTTCCAGAATGACTGTGTCTGGGCTATGACCAAATTTCTTTTAAAATGTTTTATATCAATTCATATCTACCTTAAATATTTAGCATGATAGAAAAAAGTTTTAAATAAAACAAATTCACTTCCATTTATTTAAAAATTTTTAAGTACAAAAATCCTTTACATTAATCAGCCCTATTGCAAACAAAAATATATGGCCAAAAACCCTGTGCTTCCCAATATATGGTCATGTAATCTGGACCTTGTGAATCAAACATGAGAACCTGAAGAAAATCTGGTCACTACAGCATATTGAGGGACTAGTATGTTGATCTCAAATAATATTCACATGAAACAGCTAGCAAGAAATGAAGTGCAAGGGATCCTGGCTAAGTAAACAAATGTTACTATTCCCAGGGCTCTGCCATATACTGTTGTACATGGCCAAGAAGGCTGTGCGTCTATGGCACATTCCTCTGGACACGCAGTGAGCCGTGGAACAAGGCATTACATCTAAGGAAGGGGCCACTTGGCCTAACTGGTATACCCAGGGTGGGGGATGATTTTTTCAATTGCACCCTCAAAGGAGTTGCCATTTTCAAATTAATTGTATTATAAGTCCTTGTTAGCACCAGCTGTTGCTCTCAGAGTACTTCCTATGTATAGGACTAGATTTGATAGTGAAGGAGAGGTAGAGCTCTTTATTTCAGCCTCCTCCTGGCTAACTCTTCGAGGGATATTTCTGCCTTTCCACCTGGGAAATATGGGATTTCTGAGATCTATGTTAGCATGGAAAATGACTGGCCTAAAGAGCTTGCATTACACAAACCACTCCTAAACCCTCCCAAATAATTTTTGTGGCCTGGGTCCCAGTGTGTAAGCACACAGACACTCAGGAGAAAATTGTGATTGGATTCCTGCCTCCATGAATACTACTCCTCTAAGACTGGACAATTTTCTGAATCCCTTTCTCCTGAGTTTCAGTTTCCTTACCTACAAAATCAGGACAATAAAGCACATACCTTGCAGGGTTGCTGTGAAGATTAAATGAATAATGTGTATAAAATGCCTGGCATCTAAAGTATTCACTAACTGTTAACTCTCATTTTAAAAAAATAGTAAAGCACACTAGTGCATTCAAATAGTGAAGCCTAATTCTCATCCTTGCGCAAGCTGCAAGGGCATATAGGAAATACATGATTTTAAGTTTTCAAATATCAGTACAGAATGCTGTAACAAAGGGGATACTGAGAGCTAGTGCCCCGTGTCCAACAGGGACTTAAACATGAATTCCCCTTTAAACTCCATTGTCCTTTGACCAAATAAGACCATTTAAAACACATTCTGAATATTGCAGAACTATGAGATGATATTTCAAATATTGTTTAACATTAAGAAAAATAAGACATTTTGTACAGTTATTTCCAAGTTTAAGTTATATCAAAACAGAGTTAAACTCACACTCTAAGTAAACAGTACGGTTTATCTTAGAAATGAGCAGTGTTAATTCCCTGAAACAAAAGTGACCATACTAATTTTAGTTTAGAGTTTACCATATACCAGGAAGTATTTTTGTATGCGACATGTTTTATCACAAAATCTCCATGAGGCAGATAATAATATTCCCAATTTACAGAAATAGAAACTAAAGCACAAATACTCCAATAATTCATAAAACTAGTGAATTTGGATTTGAGCCCAAGCATCTAGCTGTAGAGTGAATATTCTTAGGTACCATTCTCAACTGTACACAGTAAAATGCTTCCAGTCTATAATTTATTCTACAAGCATTTGAAGCACTTCTAAAACATAGGTGTTTACCTATATTAACCAAAAGAAAGTTTAGTACTGTATCCTACTTTGTATTGCCATTAAATGGTAGAATTCACAGTGAGGGTATACGTAGAATATTGAACTGTGTTAACTAGTCAAACTTTTAAAATAAATCTTATATTTAATAAATATGACATTTTTGGCTAATTACTGAAATTGTGACTAAATTTTAAAATAGCAAGGACTTAGCCATCTCTCTGATTTGAACAAAAAGAATTCTCACTCTTCATTTATTAATCTACACACTTGGATTCCTTTATATTAAGATTTAATTCTGATATTTATGTCGCCTTCTCCTCTTGGCACAGATAATGTGAATGGACACTGCACAAGCCCAACTTCTCAGAGCTGCAGTTCTGGAAAACGCCTTTCCAGTGCTGATGTTTCCAAAGTAAACCGCTGGGGTCCGGGAAGACCGCCTTTTCGTAAAGCACAGTCAGCTGCCTGCATGGAGATTTCCTTACCAGTTACAACAGAAGGTAGGTTAAACATACACATTTTTGTGGATACAATTAAAATTTGACATACCATGGTATTAGGAGCTGGAGGACAAGGGATGGAGGTCATGTATAAAAGATAAAAACAAAACAAAACAAAAAGATCAGTGAACTCTAGGCAGAGACTAACAGAGCCTGGACAGGCTGTGGTCATGACTCTAAATCCATTCCCCTCTCCCCCTCCTTCACCTCTGAAACCAGACTGGCTCTGCCCGTTGGTGAGCTCCCACCTCCTCTGTACAGAGGGAGACCTATGCCTTAATCTGTTGTCTGCACTCCCAAGCTTATTCTCATCTCTAAATTCTATTACAACAACTCTGTTTGTAAACTTGCCAAGGGATAGGAGGGAGAAATTAGGAATACTATTTTTTTGTTTTCTAGAAAAAGAATAGTCTGAGAATTCATACTTGGTCTCTGTTTATAAAAATGAGTCACAGTCTATCCATCAATAGGGAAAGGTGAGCGAAGGCGATAGAGAGAATATGAGAAACTTGTACTCTGGGGGAGTTTCTAAGGATACAACCTTCCTAATACCCTTTCGCTGAGGTGGTGAGTTTATGCTGTTGGAGTGTGTGCACTGGTAAGTGTTGATGGGCAGGAGAACCTGAAACCATCCTGTGGGCTGAAGGCTTTCAGAAAGATTACCACTGTCAATTGGATGGCACTGTCCTCAGCTCCTTTTTTGGCCCTATGCAATTAGGACTGAATTTGGATTCAAGGCAGGCAGCTGGGAATTAGTTCAGGAAGATAACATTTACTGTTTGGCCTTGGTAAATAGTTCAATTTTTTTCCATTTTTATAAATTTTTATTGTTCATATTATTACAAATGTTCCTTTCCCCCCACCCCCTCCATTGCTCTCCTCCACCAGGTTCCCACCCCACCCTTTGCCCTTTCCCCACCCCCCATTGTCCTCATCCATAGGTGCACAGTTTATGTTCAATCTCTTCCCACATCCCCCTCTTCCCTTTTCCCCAAGAATCATCAGTCCACTCCCCTTCCATACCTCTGATTCTATTATATTCAACAGTTAATATTGTTCATCAGATTTTTTTTTTAATTTCCTTGGTTTTTAGATTCACTTGTTGATAGTTACGTATTTGTTGTTCATAATTTTTATCTTTATTTACTTTCTCTTCTGAAAGAACCCCCTTCAGCAATTCATATAATTCTGGTTTGGTGGTGATGAACTCCTTTAGCTTTTTTTTATTAGTGAAGCTCTTTATCTGACCTTCGATTCTGTGTGATAGCTTTGCTGGGTAGATTATCTTTGGCTGTAGGTTCTTACAATTCATCACCTTGAATATTTCTTGCCATTCCCGTCTGGCCTGCATGGTTTCTGTTGAGAAGTCAGCTGACAATCGTTTAGGTGCTCCTTTATGGGTAACTACCTGCTTTGCTCTTGCTGCTTTTAATATTCTCTCTTTGTCTTTTGCTCTTGGAATTTTAATTATGATTTGTCTTGGTGTGGTCCTCTTTGGATTCCTTTTGTTTGGAATTCTGTGTGCTTCCTGGACTTGTAAGTCTAATTCTTTCACCAGGTGGGGGAAGTTTTCTGTCACTATTTCTTTCAGTATGTTTTTGATATCTTGCTCTCTCTCATCTTCTGGGACCCCCATAATTCTGATGTTGGTTTGCTTGAAGTTGTCCCAGAGGTTTCTTACATTATCTTCAATTTTCTGGATTCTCTTGCCTTCTAGCTTCTTGGAGGACTGTCTTCTGGCTCTTTATGTTCCAAATCTTTGACTTGATTCTTGCGATCTTCCATTCTGTTTTAGGACTCTGTATAATATTTTTTATTTCAGACAATGTATTCTTTATTTCTTGTTGATCCCTTATCATTTTTTGTTGATTCCTTATTAATTTTAGTTGATCCCTTTTCATATCCTCATAGATCTTATCAATCTTTTCTAGGAAATTCTTGAAAAACCTTATAAGCGTAGATTTGAACTCTATATCCAGTTGCTTTTTGTCCTCCATTTCTTTCGTTTGTGATCTATTTCGTCTTGGCATTTTCGCAGCTTCCCTGATTTGGCGGGGTTTCAGGGTGGAGCCTACAGCTTTGGTTTCCATCAGCCCCGCCCTATGCGGCTCCTGAGTCTCAGGGTCCTTCAGTACTCATTGCAAGCGCCTCTGAGAGAAAGGTGCCCTCGATTTTTGCCTGCTACCAGTCTAGGCTCTCCCCCAATGAGCCCGGTATCGCGGTTCAGTTCAGTTGGAAGTGGAGTTGGAGGTGGTGTTCAGAGCAGTCTGGAGCCCCTGTCTCCTTCCCACCAGGGCAATCCCAAGGCACAGCCAACTGTCCCTTCTCTGTGTGCGATGTGCGCGCCTCTGGGACCTCCTTTCGCCGTTCCCCCAGGGTTCTGCCTTACAGCCCAGCTTCCTCTGTTTGAGCCTGGGTCCCCGGGGTCTGGCCTAGAACTGGGGTTCAGAGCAGTTGGAACTGGGGCCCAGCACAGTCGGAGCTTTTATCTCCTTCCTGCTAGGGAATGTCAGCCAGGCACTCAGCCTCCCTCCTCTCCGGCTCTGTCCTCTCCACGCACACCGCGTGTCTCCGTACCTTAGGCTTTTACAGCTCCTCCGCTCTTCCTTCTGCTTTTCTCCTTGCTTCTCGTTATAGAATTTCCAGTCAGTCGTTTTCCTGTAGTTCTGGGTAATGTCCATTTTATATTTTAGTTGTATTTTATTAAAATTGTTGTGTGCGACTGCGGCTAGGTGTTTACCTGTGCAGCCATCTTGGATTCTCTCGTGTGTGGGTTTTCTAGTTCAATTTTTTTTATAACTGTAATTACTCCAGATATAGCAAAACTAAAAAGTGCATTAAGGAAATATATTTGTCATAGAGCACTTGTGATCCTTCAGGTTAGCTGGCAGCATGTTGTCAGTAAGTGGAAATTGCCAAGAAATCATTAGGAATACTTCCAACAATTGAGAGAGAGATGGGAAGCATAATTAAAATGGTACCAGATATTCTTGTAACTTGGACTATTTAGACTAAATTTTTTTTTTCCAGATTAGAGAATTTCAACTAACATATGAAGTGATGTAGAGAGAAAAGCATGGTGAACTGAAGAGTCAAGTTCTAGTTCTAGTTCCAGCCCTGCTTACATTTTTTTATTTGCACTCTGTACGTTAGTCTCTTCCTCTTCAAAATAACCTGGTGAACTGCATAGCCTGCCTTCCAGATCAGCTAACAAAAAATAAAATTCTATGTCCCCTTCATAATTTTGGTTTTCATGTACTAAGTCTGACTTTATTTTTTTCTGGAAAAAAAATTAATTTTTGTTCTTTAAATTTCCACAGACAGCCGAGAAAATTCCTATAGTCGTTCTAGAAGCTCTAGCATTTCCAGTATTGACAAAGACTCAAAAGAAGCAATTACAGCACTGTACTTCATGGAGTCCTTCGCTCGGAAAAACGACTCCACCATCTCCCCTTGTTTGTTTGTTGGAACTAGTCTGGGGATGGTGTTAATCATGCCCCTGAGCCTGCCTTCAGCAGAGGAACAAAGACTCACAGAGCCAGTCATGGTATTGCCAAGCGGTAAGAGTTTTTAGTCATTCCTTCTTTGCTACTTTTTAAAATTTAGATATAAGGTATTATAATACATTCATTGTATTGATGTATTCTGTATAATAGGAACTACTAAGAATTTCATAAGTCATATACTATTCCAACATTTGTGTCATTGCAACTTACCTTTCCTTTAGTGTAAAATAGCACAACTACTTCTATGGTAGTAAAATGGAACAACCAACCTAAACAGTGCCTTGGAAAAGAAGTTCCTGAGAAGCACTGAACTGAAAAAAACCTCAATGCAAAAGTTAAAAAAAGTTATTTTTAATGAGTTGAAGTATTTCTCCAAAGTTCCATGCCAGATCAGAGCCTATGAGTGTTTTTGTATCATTCTTGAAGAACTCAGAACAATTAAACTAGAATTATCTGACCTGAGGTGGCTCTGGCAGGGGGGAGAAGGGGGGATGGAGCATAGAAATAAACAGTGAAAATGAAAGGAGAAGAAAACATTTATTCAAACAGAATATATATAACAGTGTCTTAGAGGCAGGGAAGAGAAGTTATTGCATCTATGAAGCAAAAATGGGGAGGGGAGAACAATTGGAGGTGAAGAGAGAACTTTTTGTAAATAAAAAATATGATAAAAATTAAAATGTAATAGCAGTCTTGGAAGACAAAGACATGGAAAGCTCTCAAATATAGGATAAATGGCAAAGATATGGATAAAGAAGGTCAATGATTTAAAAATAGACTCAGAAAATAACAGCATAACTTCTTTGATAAACTTCTCATCTTGCTTCACACAATTTCTTTCCTTTTTATCCTATTGCCCAAAGTATATGCTGTATTCTCTGCCTACTTGAATTATCCTTTTTTTCATTCAAAGAAGAGATGAGTGAGATTCCTCCTGTTATTCTTTTTAATATTTTTTAATTTGTTCTCTTTCCTATTTATGATAAAAGTTATCTGAAAAACATTTCTTAAGTAAGAAAATTTTTTATTAATATACTAAAGGCCTGGTGCATGAAATTTGTGCACTGGAGGGGGTGTCCCTCAACACAGCCTGCACCCTCTCCAATCTGGGACCCTTTGGGGGATGTCCGACAGGGATCCGGCCTAAACTGACAGTTGGACATCCCTCTCACAATTGAGGACTGCTGGCTCCTAACCACTCGCTGGCCTGCCTGCCTGATCACCCCAACTGCCCTCCCATGCTGGCCTGGTCACCCCTAACTGTCCTCCCCTGCCAGTTTGGTCACCCCCAACTGCCCTCCCCTGCTAGCCTGTTTGCCCACAACTGCCCTCCCCTTCTGGCCATCTTGTGATGATGTGGGGCCAGCCATCTTGTGACAGCTGGAGATGGCCATCTTATGATGATGTGAGGCGCAAGGGCCACCTAGGTTTTTATTAGTATAGATAGCATAAGGGATTTTAATTTAAAAGGACACACATATATGATATAGTAAGTTAGATAAAGTTGTGTTTTCTTAGTTAACTGGATGTGCTAAATTCGTATACATGAATTATTACTTATTAGAGGCCCACTGCACAAATTCATGCATCAGTGGGGTCCCTTGGCTGGCCTGTAGGATCAGGTTGAAACTGGCTCTCTGATATCCTCTGAGGGGTTTCAGATTGCAAGAGGGCACAGGCCAGGCTGAGGGACCTCACCAGTGCACGATCGGGACTAAGGAGGGACGCAAGAGGTTGGTCAGCCAGAGAAGAACCTCGGGAGGCCTCCAGGGCATGTCCAGCCCATCTCACTCGGTCCCAATCAGCCAGACCCCAGCAGCAAGCTAACCTACCAGTTGGAGCATCTGCCTCCTGGTCATCAGTGCACGTATTAGCAAGCAGTTGAGTGGCCTTAGCATATCATTAGTATATTACACTTTGATTGAATGGCTGACTGGATGACCAGACACTTAGCATATTAGGCTTTCAGTATATAGGACTAGATGCCCGGTGCAGGGAACCCATGCAAGAGAAAGCCTTCGTATCCCCATCTGCCTCAGCCCTCACATCCCCAGCTTCATCCAGAAGGTCCTCTGGATGGTTGTTCTGCTTTTCGGCTGGTCGATTTTCATATTGCACTTTTAATATTATAGATTGTAAGTGGAATAGCTCTCTCTACTAGTGTTGCAAATTCACATAAATGCATGCATGTGGCTTAAACAACAGTTGTTTTCTCATATTTCTGAAGGCTAGAGGTCCAAGATTAAGGTGTTCGCAATGTTGGTTTCTTCTGAGGCCTCTCCCAGATGTGCAGGCGGCCATCCCTCTGTGTGCATGTACCCTGGGAGCTGCCTGTCCCAATCTCCTCTTCTTGGAAAGACATTAGTCTGTTGAATTAGGGCCCCCTAACAGCCTCATTTTAACTTAATCACCTCTTTAAAATCTATCTTAAAGTCACAGTCTGAGGTACTGGGGTTTATAGTTTCAACATATGAATGGGCGGGGGTACAATTCAAACTATAACATGCATTGTATTTTAAAAGTTAATCTATGTGGATCATTTTAAATTTTATTTTTAAATTATAGTTGACATACATTATATTAGTTTCAAGTGTACATTAGTGATTTGACATTTGTATACTTTATAAAGTGATCACCATAAGTCTAGTGACCATTTGACACCATAGTTATTATTATGATATTATTGACTATAGTCCCTATATCCATGACTTTTTTCTATAAATGGCAGTTTGTATATCTTAGTCCCCTCCTTTACTTTTCACCCACCCCCCAAAACTCTGCTATCTGACAATCATCAGTTTGTTCTCTGCATTTAAGAGTTTGTTTCTGAGTGAAATAAGATAGAGGAAGACAAAAGCTGTATGTTTTCACTTACGTGGAATCTAAAAAATAAAATGAGCCAACAAAGCTGAAACAAACTCATACATAGGATTACTTTTTAAATTATAAATTTATTTCACAATAAAACATTTTTATTACATTTCTAATTTTTAAAGAAGTACGTATGCACAATTCTTTTAGTCCTTAGCTCACTTTTTAGTGAAATTGAGAACTGTGTTGATGTTGTTTTTAAAGTTAACCAAATTGACAAACCTTTGGCTACACTAGAAAAAAAAGAGAAGACTCAAATAAAATTAGAAATGAAAAATAAGCCATTACAATTGATACCATAGAATTAAAAATTATATGCCAACAAATTGGATAACCTAGAAGAAATGAATACATTCCCAGAAACATGTAACCTACTAAGACTGAATCACGAAGAAATAGAAAGTCTGAACAGACCTGTAACTACTAAGGAGAAGGAATCAGTAATCAAAAACCTCTTCACAAAGAAAACCCCACTTCTTTTCTAAGGAATCTTTTCACAGAAGTTTATCTTGGTTATCTTAAAAATAAATTCTATGATATGGAAATTTGAGATCACTAAACTATTGAATTTTAGAGGGAACGCATCTCGAGAGTATCCATTCTAGTGACAATAGCTGTGGCTGGAATCAGAATCAACAGGAGCTGTTACAGCACAGATTATTGGGTGCCTTCTGGCTTTTCTGATTCAGTAGGTCTGGGCTGGAGGATAGGGATTTGCATTTTTAATAAGCTCCCAGGTGATGCTGGTCATGCAAATGCAACTTCGCAGGCAGGAATGGAAAAGCCCGCAGTTCCTTCCTCCTGTGTAAGGAAAAGCCTGGTCCTTCCTCCTGTGCTTTTCCTGTGCCTCACTCACAGCACTTCTTACAGAGTTATGGAGGGATTTTTCCCACAACAAGCAATTCTCTGCAACCCTGGCTGGTTGTCCCATAATTTAACTTAAGTCTGATCCTGGAGATAATGTCAGATCCCACAAGTTAAGGGCTCAGTCCCACAAGTTAAGGGTTCAGTCGAATCAGACTGTCCCCCGCACTCCTTCAGGAGCCAGTCGCAAGTCTGGGTTACTACCTGTGCTTCGGCTATAAAACTGAGGACACACCCCTTCTTGGCAGCACATAGAACTCAGAAAAACTAGTTACTTACTGTTTCCAGTTTATTAAGAGGGGAGACAGGTGGATTTCCAGGAGAAGAGATGCCAGGACAAAGTAAGTGGGGAGGTCACAGAGCTTCCATGCCTCTCGCACACCCCCGCTTTTTCACCCACCGGAAGCTCTCCAAACCCCTCCTTTTGGTTTTTATGGAGGCTTCGCTGCACAGGTATAATTGATTGAATTCACTGGTTATTGATCTCCAGCCCCTCTACCTCAGGCAGATCCTCGAATCACGGTTGGTTCCCCTGGCAACTAGCCTCCACCCTAAAGCAAGGGCCAAAGTCAGCTCCTTAACATAACAAAGGACATCCGTGTAGCTCTCATCACTTAGGAAATTCCAAAGGACCCTGCCCCAACTGGTAATGCTGACCAAATACCTATTATAAATCACAATAGCACTCATGCATATTAAGCTTACTCAAAATCCTGGTTAAATTTAATTCTGCCTACTATTTCTATACCTGTATAGCTGAATATGGCTGGGGAAAATGTATAACCACACTAATAGTCTTGTTTTGAAATACATCGTCGATAACTTTCTATGGGCTCCTGTGTTGCTGGGTAATCGTACTATCTCTTAGCCTCTTGAACAACAATTGCAATTTTCTCCACTCTCCTCAAACCTCCAGTACCTCCTCCACTGTTTTCAATCTCAGCTAACAATGTGTGTCCTCTTTCCCTGAGAAAACTAAAACAGGTAAGAACTATAGCTGCCACCACCAGATCTGCCAACCTGTCTACCTGTTTCTCCCTGGTCCCTATATTCTCTCCTATTTTTATGACTATTCTGTGTAAACTCCTAACTTGGTCAATTTCTCCACATGCACACTAGATTCTGCTCAAGAAAGTCAATCCAGCAATTTTTCCTTTTTGTAATTATATGTCATATTTATATTACTTATAATTGTATAATTCTGATTATAATAAATGTTTCTATGAGATCAGCATACAAACATGCTGTTATTTTTTCCATTAAAGAGGAAAAAGTCCTCTCTTAAATCTATTCTTTTGTAATGCCCATTTCACTTCTTTATCTTTAAAACTCCTTTAAATGGTTGTTATATTCACTGTTTCCAATTTTATTTTCCCATTTTTTTTAATTCTTTATTGTTGAAAGTATTACATATATCCCTCCTTTCCCCCCCACTGTTATCTCCCAGCCTGCCCCCACTCCTCTTTCTCCATCCCCTTTCCCCCTTCTGGCCTATATTCCCTCCCCCATTGTCTGTGTCCATTGATTATGCTTATATAGATACAAGTTCTTTGGTTGATCTCTTACCTCCCATTCTTTCTTGATTGCATTGTGATCAAGCTTTCACTCATATCAATCAGCAAAAATCTCCATATATGTTATCACTGACCTCATTATTGAATCCAGTGGTCAGTTCTCAAGCAATATCTTACTTGACATATCAGCAACACAATACACAATTTACCATCGTCTCTACCTTAAAACACTTCAATTCCAGAACACTTTATTTACCTAGTTTTCTTCCTATATTTCTAACCCTTCCTTTTTAGTTCTCTTTACTGTTTCCTCCTCATTTCACTGGACTTAAAATGTCAGAATGCACAAATACTCAATCTTTTTGGTTTTCTGTTTGTATTCAAGCCCGAGATGAAATCAGCCAGCTTCATGACTTTAAATGCCACTTCTAGTCTTACCGTTATGCCCAGACTTCGTGATCCCCAAGGACCACCAGGGAGCTGAGTCCGATGCAATAAGCAAAAGAGCCTGTACCATGCTAGCAATGGGCTCCTCCCACTCATGCCGGCAGCATGGCGGAAGAGCGCGAATTTCTCCCCGTCCAGGGGTTTTGAGGGCTAGGGATAACTCCGCCCTACGGGGCGGAGTTGGGAGCTCATCCTCGCCCCGCCCTGCCCTCTCACTTACTAGAGGCCTGGTGCACCAATTCGAATTTAGGATCAATTCTAAATTAATTCTAATTATTTATTATGGCTTTGGAATTATTTTTTCTTCATGGAAGGTTGGGAGAGCTATTTTTTTTTTTTTAATACCCTGACCCTTGAACTGAAGGCCTAAGTCCCTACTCTCCTATCCTATTCAGTTCCCTAGCAGGACGTTCACAGGCCACACATTCTGGTTTTAATGTTATTTGAATGTGATAAATTTTAAGTACTTCAAACTATGAAGTACTTTCTAAATGGAATGTATTTTTATGTATCACCTTCCTTTTTCATGCCTCTGTACACTTCTGAAGTCTGTCAGCTTGATTAATCTTGTTACTCTCTCTATGGTGTTAAAAAAAAACATTGGGGGGGGGGGGAAGGCTGCTAGGGCACTGCTTAAGGGAGAGTCTGGAAGTGTCAAAAGGTCAATCTTCAAGTTACCTTCAAAGCTTTGTCCTGTCTACTGGGACAGGTGAAAATTACCCACAGGTAGTAATCGGGCCTGGATATTCAACTTGGAGAATGCAGGTGAGTAAACCGCTCTTCAGCATAAAGATGGATTAGCCTGACCAAGAGCCAAAGGTAGTTTGCTTTATTCCATATAATCAACATTGTTAGCATGCACTCTAGATGTATTCTGAGTGCTCAATTTCAGAAGAAGGAAAACGACATTTCCTAGTGAATAAGCCTATGAGAGAAAGGGAATCAGATGATATGATGATTATTTTTTCAGTTGAAATTATTTCAATAAATAAAAATTATATATTTTCTGAAAATTGCTTTTTAAAGAAAGGATTTTAAGGGGGACTATATGTTATAAAGAAAGACCACTGGATTAGGAATCAACTAACTTGACTTGGCCCAAGTCTAATCATCTTTCTGGGTCTCCACTTTCTTATTAGTCTTCTGAGAGCATACAACAAGTTGATGTCTTAGGCTCCTGTCAGAACTAACATTCTCTGTGTGCAAGTTGTTGGAATTAATGGACTCACAAATCTCATTCATATATTATACTATACTATACTATACTATACAATATTATATCTACTATAGATTTAAATTATAATATAAAACATTTATTGCCCATAGATGAATAACAGCTATTTTAGAAAGAATTTTACATGCCAATGACATAAAATTATTTTTTACAGGTACATTCCTCTCATTGAAAGGAGCTGTGCTAACATTCTCCTGTATGGATAGAACTGGCGGATTAATGCAGCCACCATATGAAGTTTGGAGGGACCCAAACAGCACAGATGAAAATGAAAAATCTTGGAGAAGGAAGTTGGTCATGAACTGCCCCTCTCTGTCACAGGAAGTAGGAGATCATCAGTATACAATCGTCTGCTCAGAAAAACAAGCCAAAGTTTTCTCACTGCCTTCTCAGACTTGCCTTTATGTTCATAACATCACCGAGACATCTTTTATACTGCAAGCTGATGTGGTGGTCATGTGTAACAGTGCCTGCTTGGCATGCTTTTGTGCCAATGGGCATATCATGATAATGAGGTACTTGCCTTCTTTATAAATTATCTGTAATCACAATAGTGCCAATAAGTACAATGCTGAGAAGTATATGTGTAATCTGCAAGATGTTATAAAGAAGCAACCTGAAATCCTTGTTTCATTGTATTTTTGAATGTCTTATTGTTCTACAATTTGAGAAGAGTTTAGCTTTTTAATTTTTTGTTTTGGTTGGGTGTTTTGTTTGCTAAAAATGCTTCGCATTGTGAATAAAAATATATTTTAATTGACGTTAAAAAAATCTAGGGAAAGAGTGATTTTCCAGTCACTCACACATTCACTCAGCAAATATTTATTGAGCCTAGGTTATCTCCCAGAAGCTATACTAGGCACTAGAAACCTAAAGATAAAGAAACTATAAGGAAAATAAGTGAACTGTTATTTTTACTATGTTTCATAGTCTACATAAGAATTTTACATACAGAATTTAATTTGATTCTTTTAGCTTCTCTAGGACCTAGAAAATAAAGTATTATTTGCATCCACTATTTTACACATGTTAATGAATTAACCTCTTCCCCACCACCACACATTAATTTGAATGAATCTATTATGGATTCTATTTAACTGGGTGTGTTTTGGACTCATATGCCAAATGAATTTAGTTACTGGAAATGCCATAGCATATACTTTTTAATAATAATTTTTTTCATACTAAGTCTTTGAAATTCAGTATATAGTGTACACTTATAGAACATCTCAATACAGACAAGCCACATATCAACTGCTCAATAGGCACATGTGGCTAGTGGCTACCACCTTGGACAGCACACTGCTATGACCTCATGAAAAGTATATTCCAACAGCACATATTTCAAGTCTCATTTTATATGATAAGATTCTAGGGTTTAAATTGTAATTACAAACTATTTTTAGATGGTAAATTAATACTTTTTTTCAAAGTACTGGTTTTATCATCTGGAATAAGTTAAAATCATTGTGCATATGGGAATTAGTAGGATGATTTCAAAGCTTGAGATATAATTACAAGTTTATTTTTCTCCACTTGGTATTTGAGGTGTGATTTATAAGCAATGAGATATTTCCTTCAGTAGTTTGTAAAACTGGCTCGAGCAACAGTATCCACGGGACATTGTTTAGAAAAATGAATTTAAGGGAAAACATTGGCTATAATATTAGGATAGGCATATAGCCTTTCGGTAGGATACTAGGAGATGAGTGATATTCATTTGGATGTACAAATTCTCATCTATCATGTATTATTCTCATCCCCTTACCGCCCTGGCCATGCTTATATTTATTAATCATGCCTTCAGTGTAGTCATAGGTAATTTCCATTTCCTGTGTGCTGAGGGAGTAAAGAAATGGAGCACAAAGCCACTCCATTCCCAGGCACAGTGACCTGGACCCACTCCATGTCGCCATCAGCTCATAACCTCCTCAAACTCAGGAGTTTTGCCTTAAAAGACCAAGTATGCAGTCAGGCACTTTCCAGTGGTAGTGTTTCTGTCATAACCAAAGATATAGCCACACTGTAGAAACCTGTGAAATGCTGCAAAAAGTATCCTGAAATTTCTGGCCACTCACTTAATTTGATCTTCAAAGACATTTGCTAAGTACTAGATGGATTAAGATAGAAGTGTGCCCATGGTTTTTTATGTATACAATTTTATGTCAAAGTCATGAGACTTCAAGAGATTAAAAAGAAACAAGCACAAAATAGAGGTATAAAAATTGTTTTTCTGTATAGCTTTTAAGAAATTAAAAAGCTGCTAACAATATGAATATAAAATGTGGATTTGCTTTTTCCCCATGCAGCCTGCCTAGTCTTCGCCCAATGTTGGATGTTAATTATTTGCCACTGACAGACATGAGGATAGCACGGACATTCTGTTTTACTAATGAAGGGCAGGCATTATACCTGGTCTCTCCTACGGAAATTCAGCGGTTAACGTACAGCCAAGAAATGTGTGATAATCTACAGGTAAGTAAGGCACAAAAAAAAAAATCATTGGAGTGGTTGTAAAAAGAGAGAATGAGAGAGATGTAGAAAAACTAAAATACCGTCCAGGCCAGTATGGCTCAGCTGGTTGGACCGTCTTCCTGTACACCAAAAAGTGGCGGGTTCGATTCCCTTAGGGCACATACCCAGGTTGTAGGTTTGATGCCCAGTCAGAGTGCATGTGTGTTTGGGGAGGGGGGAGATGCGGCACATATCTAGTTGATGTTTCTCTCTCTCTTTCTTCCTCTCTGCCCTCTTCCCTTTTTCTCTTTTAAAAAAATATATATATATTTTTTTAAAAAGCATTGTTTTAAAAATAAAAGCTAAAACATTATTGGGCCAGACAATAAATATGCCTTTCCTAGAATATGTCGAATATTATGTTCCTCACTGTGACCCTACCAAATGTGTTTCTAGGTATATTCAGAAAAAGTAAGTAGAAGGAAAAATGTAAAGATTATGCTTATTAATGGTTAATTTTTAAATTTTGGGTTTTGTAGGGGTTTTTTTCACCTGAGGAGAATGCTCTAAAAGATGATAAACTCTCCCTCCAGGATGGAGGATGTGTCTGTACACACAACAACTTTTCATACAATTCAGGGAGTTCATGGACTTTTTTTTTTTTTTTTAAAGGAAAACTTAATTTGGTTAAGAGCCATACAAAAGAAACACATACTTATTCTGTGGGTTAGAACTGAGCATTTGTCCTTGATCATAGCACCAAGCAGAGCATAGATACAGAATAAATATAAAAGCCTTGTAACCTTGGGTAAGCACAAGTGATCACAAAAATTTAAAAATACCTTAGAAATTTTATTGGTTCAATGCCCTCGTTTTACAAATAAGAAAACTAAAAGCCATTCATTATAACACAGAGTTTTAAGAGTATAAGATCCAAGCTATTTGAGTGTATTTTGCCCACTTGCAAGACTGTGGGTATTTTACTAAGCCTACCTTAGAGCATTGTGTGATAATTAAGAAGGAATTCATATAAAGCACTGAGCACAGTGCCTGAAATATAGGAAGTTTTTAAAATAAATAATAATGTTATTATCATTACTCAACACTTACTGAGTTGATTCTGTATGCCTAATACTTGGCTAGACTCTAGGAATCCTATATAATAAAGATGTAATATGCAAATGGTTGTTATGCCATGAAGTGTAATGGCTCACTGCTTAAAGACCAGATCTCAGATCAGCTGTGAGGGTGGGGCAGCGAGCTACAATCAGGCAGCGGAAAGCTACAGGAGGGAGCAGGGCAGCAAGCTATGAGGGGGGTGGGAGTGGGGGCAAAGGGAGTTACAGGAGGGCAGGGCAGCAGGTGGAGAGCTACAGGAAGGCAGCAGTGAGCTACTGGCTACAAGCGTGTGGTGGAGAGCTACAGGAGGGGACAGGGCAGCAAGCTATGAGGGGGTCTGAGGGGCAGGGGGCGGGGGAGCTACTGGTGAACAGATTCCTGTGCAGGGCTACTAGTATAGTCATAAACAAGATGTGAGTCCTATCTGCTAGAGCAGTGTTTTTCAACCTTTTTTGGGCAAAGGCACACTTGTTTCATGAAAAAAATCACGAGGCACACCACCATTAGAAAATGTTAAAAAAATTAACTCTGTGCCTATATTGACTATATATAAAGTAATTCTCTTGAATAGGAATCAAATAAACACAAAGAAAGTATTTTATAATGACTTTATTATGAAATATTAAGTAAACAAAATAGTGAAAAATTATAAAATTCTTGTCTTGTCTGCACCTATGGCACACCAGGCAACATCTGTGCCGCGGAACAGTGGTTGAAAAACGCTGTGCTAGAGTGGAGGGAGACAAGCACAGTACTCTGTGGAAATGCTGCCTATAGATGGCTGAGCCGGTACTGGGGAGACATTTATAGGGCACCTGGGCTGATGAAAAGAGGAAGTGGGCAGTTAAAAATCATGAGAAGGGTGAGGAGGAGTTCCCCATGGGAATGGCGGCTGGGGTGGAAAAGGTGATGATATTCTTGCCAGAGTAGTGCCACACAAAGCCCAAAGGCTTAGGAAACTGCCAACAAAGTTCAGAGTTGGGAAGTCAGAAGAGTGAGGATGGTGCTGGAGAATTAGTCAAGAATAGAGCTTGGATCACCTTTAAGCTCCTTTTATCCCAAGGGTATTTCTCCTAAGGGAAACAGGAAGTCATTTAAAAGATTTAGCAAAGTGTTTATTGAAACTACAATAGCATTCTGGCAGTAGTATAGCCATTGGTTTTGAGGAATTAAGACTGAAGGTGGGGAGAGCAATTAGGAGGCTTTTAAAAAATAATTAAGGTTAAAAATAACAGTGGCTTGAAATGAGGCAGCCAGCAGTGAGGATGGAGAAAGTTAGCAGATTCAATAGCTAAGAAGTGTAATCAGTTGGATTGGACGATTATTAGCGGTAGGAGTGAGGGGCAGGAAGGAATTAATAACTCTTCCTGGGTTTCTAGCTTGGGAAACTGGATAGATGGTGCACTGTCAATTCCAAAAAGAAAAGACTAGGGAGGAGCGCTCAAGTCTGCTGAGGGAGATGAAGTCATATAGCAAACTCCTAGACAAGCTGGCATTAGGACACAGATCTGACTTGTGGTTGAAGTCCCTTCCCCCACATTGATAGTTCTCAAATTTTGACCTGCGTTAGAAAGACCTAGAGAACAAGTATGAAGTAGAGATAACCACAGCGCATTTTTGTAGATTCTGATTGAGTGTGTTGGAGTAAAGCCTGAGCATCTGTATTTCCAAGATTTTTCTCCAGTCACTAAAGCACACCACATTGAGAACAATTCAACTGTGCCTCACCATGCAATAGCTGCCTATCTGACTCCTTTAAATTATCTTGAGCCATTTCATAATCTTGTACTTGATATAAAAACAAATCCAACCTTTCCCCACATACCACCACAGGCTTCCCATTTCATAGGGAACTCATGCTTGTTTAGGAGAGGGACTAGGTCAGGCAGAAGCTATAGTAATTGAAAAAGATCAGAAGTCTAGATTAATAGTCATTGACCAAGTGGAAATTAACCCTAAAGTGAATATACTACCTTTCCCTGCTTTCTAATTGTAAAGGAAATAAGAGCCCAGAAATATAAAAATTTTAGGATGGCAATTCCTAGAGAAGAAAAGGAGAGGGAATGACAGACAGGACTGGGAGCAAAGCAAACTCAGAAAAATATGGAAAGCAAACTGTCTTTTCATGATGTGCTCTAACAACCACAGTGTTATCTTTTGATATATTAATTTTTTTGTAGTTGCTCCAATGCTTTTTTCTTTGAATTACGTACAGGACATGCTGGGAGATTTGTTTACCCCCATAGAGACACCAGAAGCTCAAAACAGAGGTTTCCTAAAGGGACTGTTTGGTGGAAGTGGACAAACTTTTGACAGAGAAGAGCTCTGTGAGTAAACTCCTGATCCTAAGATTATGTTATTAATGCAAAATAGAAGGTGTGTGTGTGTGTGTGTGTGTGTGTGTGTGACTTAACATGATATATGACTTTGAATTCTAGAGTGGATTATTTTGCTTCTATGCTATGAAAATTATTTTTGTTTATTAAACCTGAATAAAGTTGATCACTTTATAGTAGGAAATAGTTTAACAAAAATAGTACATAAAATTCATGCAAATAATGAGTAAGCTAACAGATGTGTCATTTGCAAGTAGATCATGTTTGCAATGAAGAATGAAGATATTCAGTTACACCTGTGTAAAAAACAAAACACAAAAAAACAAAAACAAAAAACAAGAACAACAAAACATTTTGAACCTGCCTGCCATTAACCACTGCTGGGAAACAAACACATGGTTTATCAATACTACAGAACAAATTATTTTAATATCTACCACTGAGACCCTGATGACCAGTAATAAAAAAGCAGTAGAAAGATGCTAGGCAACATTTTTAGAAAGAAGTCAAGAATGTATTTTCATTGTATATTGTTAATGGGAATATAAATTTGTGCAGCCACTATGGAAAATGGTACAGATATTCCTTTAAAAAATAGAGCTGCCATATGACCCAGCAATCCCACTCTGGGTATTTACCCAAAGAAAACAAAAATACTAATTAAAAACACATGTGTATCCCTATGTTCGTTACAGAATTATTTATAGTATACAGATATGGAAGCAACCTAAGTGTTCATCAATAGATAACTAGATAAAGAAGATATGGTATATATGGTATATATGTATAATGAAATATTACTCAACCATAAAAAAGAATGAAATATTGCCATCCTATATAATAAAAGAGTAATATGCAAATTGATCATCACTCCAAGACACAAAATGGCTGCCCCCATGTGGTCAAAGATGGCTGCCTCCATGTGAACACAAGATGGCCACCACAAGATGGCCTGCAGGGGAGGGCAATTGTGGGCAGTTAGCGGTGACCAGGCAGGCAGAGGAGGGCAGTTGGGGAAGACCATGCTAGTAGGGGAGGGCAGTTGAGGGCGATCAGGCCAGCAGGGGAGGGCAGTTAGGGGTGAATAGGCCAGCAGAGGAGGGCAGTTGGGGGAGACCAGGTCAGCAGGGGAGGGCAGTTAGGGGCAATTGGGCTGGCCAGGGAGCAGTTAGATGTCAATCAGGCTGGCAAGGGAGTGGTTAGGGGGTGATCAGGCTGGCAGGCAGAAGTGGTTTAGGGCAATCAGGCAAAGGCAGGTAAGAAATTGGGAGCCAGCAGTCTTGGATCGGGCCTTCACGGGCAGTTGGACATACCTCTCACAATCCAAGACTGTGACAGGAGGTCACACATCCCTCAAGGGGTCCCATATTGGTGAGGGTGAAGATAGGGCTGAGGGACACAACCCCCAAGCATGAATTTCATGCACCAGGCCTCTAGTTTATAATGATATGGATGGACCTAAAAGGTAATATGCTAAATAAAATAAGTCAGACAGACAATATTGTCATTTCACTTATATGTGGAATCTAAAAAGCAAAAATAATTAACAAACAAAACAAGAACAGACTCATGGATATAGAGAACAAATTAATGATTTCTAAAAGGGAGGAAGGTTTATTTTTTTATTGATTTTTTACAGAGAGGAAGGGAGAGAGATAGAGAGCTAGAAACGTCGATGAGAGAGAAACATCGACCAGTTGCCTCTTGCACTCCCCCTACCGGGGATGTGCCCGCAACCAATGTACATGCCCTTGACCGGAATCGAACCTGGGACCTTTCAGTCCGCAGACCGACGCTCTACCACTGAGCCAAACCGGCTTCGGCAAAGGGAGGAAGGTTTAAAAAAGGGTGGGGGAAATAAGTTTTTCTAGAATATCTTATCATCATTTGATCTTGCAGATAAAAACATCTTTTAAACTTTTACCTAGGCAAAACATCTAGGTGCTTCCATACAATTCAATATTTATTCTTCAGCCATAAAAAGGCATGAAATTTGATATCTGTCACAACATGGATGAACCTTGAAAACATCATGCTAAGTTAAAGAAGGAGGACAAAAAGGTCACTTATTATATGATTTATTCCATTTATATAAAATGTCCAGAATGAGAAATTCAGAGAGACAGAAAGTAGATTAGTAGTTGCCAGGCAAGAAGTGACTGTTTAATGGCTATGGCGATTCTTTGGGGTAATGAAATGTTCTAAAATTAGATAGTGGTGACAGTTGCACAACTTTGAATACAATAAAAACCACTGACTTATACACTTAAAAAGGAAAACTTTATGGCATGTGAATTATATTCCAATAAGCCTTTTATAGATCTACATTCCATTCCTAATGTTGCCTCTTTGGGAATGCTCATAAAGTTTTACCAAGACAGTTGTTTTTCAACTTTTAAAAATTACTTCATAAAATTAAATGAAACTGAGCTTTGTAAATGATAGTTAGTCCTTTGTGAAAACATCATATTTATATTAATGCCCATCATGCATATACTCCATATTCTAGTATTTACACACACACACACACACACACACACACACACACACACAGTGAGAGAGAGAGAGATTTAAAAACAACAACTGAGACCTATAAAGGCTGATAGCAAGATAAACAGAGAACACTGGAATGAACACTTGGGTCCAAATTTAAAAAAAAGAACAGACCTGTGATTGGAACAGACACTAATGTGAGTTCACATATGCTGTGAATACCCCAATTCAGCAACCTCAAGGATACAATTATCCTGATACCTGTCAGGATCAGAGTAGGCAAACCCTGCTCACCTCCTCCCATGATCACCTTGAAATTACAAAGAGATTACAGAACCGCCTGAAGACTAGCTGAGCAGAATCCCTGGAACTAAGAATATAAAGACACCGATGGAGACCAGTAGGACGGCCGAGGCTCCGATGGGCAGTCCCACACCCCCAGTGTGGTGACTGGAATCTAAAGGGAATTCTCAGACATGAAGGCCCCTGAGGATCAGGTCTGTCCTCACACGGGGCTCCCTGGCTCAGGGCTCCAGTAGCAGGAAGAAAGGTCCCCGTAACATCTGGCTGTGAGGAGCTGGGGGTCACATCTGGGAGGGGCAGGGGGCTCCTGGAGACTGCGGAGAACCTCAAGTTGCTTGTTACACAGACTCACTCAAAAACTCATAAACCCCAATTTCCAGCACAGGAGCAGCACCTTGGAAAGCTCCGGGGGCAGCAGGGAGGAGCGAAGTTCATAACTTCAATGCAAGGCTGGGGGGGTAGGGCCAGAGCAGCGCTCCAGGGACAGGGCCTGGCTGCTGCATCTGATCCTTTGCGGAGCTCCCCTCCCTCCCCGCCACCAGTGCAGGGGGCACCAAGGCTGTGTTCCCCCATGAGCCAGGTTGGCACTGTTCACCCAGCACGGTGATCCCTGACCCCCTCCCATTTAGCTCACTGCCTGGCCCAGCCTCTTCCAGTGGCTCCTCCACACAAGACCCCCACCTTTCCCCAAACCTGTCAAAGGTCCAAAAACCCAAACAAGCAGCAGCCAACTAAAAAAACAAAATGAACAAAAAACCAACAACAACGAACAAATAAAACACAAACTCACAGATACAGAGAACAAATTGGTAATGGCCGAAAGGGAGGGGTTTAGAGGGTTGGGCGAAGAAGATGAAGGGATTAAGAATGCAAATGGCCAGTTATCATGCCAGTTATCAAAAACCATCACGGGGAGGTAAAGTACGGCACAGGGAATATATTAATAGTCAATAGCATTTGATAACCATGCCTGGTGTCAGATGGGTACTAGACTTATTAGGGGTGATCACTCCATAAAGTATATATATGTCTAATCACTATGTTGTACCTCCTGAAACTAATGTATTATTGTATGTCAACTGTAATTTAAAAATAACCAAAAAAAATGTGATTAGGACATATTGTGTGACGCACGCGCACACACACACACACACACACACACAGGGATGTGGAAACAATGCTCTCGGCCTCCTTCATAGGCATTTTTCTTGAAGTGCAATGACAGGGTCAGATACGTCTGTCTCTTACTGGAGAAGCGTGATAGTAGGACTTATATAAGTGCTTTGGTAATAAACTTGACTGCCACTGTTTGAGTGACTGACCAATGTTTTCTGTCCTTCTGGCTGGAACTCCCAGTCGGGGAGGCGGCGGCAGGAAAAGCGTCCCGCAGCCTGGCCCAGCACATCCCCGGCCCCGGCAGCATAGAGGGGATGAAGGGCGCTGCGGGCGGGGTGATGGGGGAGCTGACCCGAGCGAGGATCGCGCTGGACGAGCGGGGGCAGAGGCTGGGGGAGCTGGAGGAGAAGACGGCGGGCATGATGACCAGCGCGGAGGCGTTTTCCAAGCACGCACACGAGGTAACTCAGTAACGTGGGCGTCTCCACACCGTGATGACTTTACACATTTAGGCCCGGCACAAGACAGCTGACGCAGAGATGCCACTCATGCTAAGTCATCCTGGGTCCCACTACGGTCCCTCAGTACTTGGGAGGAAAATCCTTTTTAAAATGCTGTAATTCATGACACTCCGTTATCGTGGGGACGGCCTGGGAGGACATCTCCCACTGGTTCTGAGACGCTGTACGTTGTGCATCTGCTGCCACCGGGAGCTCAGAGCAAGCCCAGGCCCCGCACTCCCCTGTTGTCTGAGTCTCTGAAAATTACTTCTGGTCAGCCGAGTATTTACAGCTTGGTTTGTTTTTCTAAGAAAAGACTTTGTCATTATTTTACAAAGTAAAGGAGGTTTTATTAGTTTTAAGATTTACTGAGATATTCATGATTAACTCAATATAAGCTTGCTTGATGAACACTTTCTAAGATTTTTATTTTTATTTTTTATTAACATCTCCCGGTTACTTTTCTTTGCAGTTAATGCTGAAATACAAGGATAAGAAATGGTACCAATTCTAACTTCTACAGAAGCTGTGACTGCTTTGAGAAACCATTATTCAGGGAAACCAAATTTAATTCCCAGCATCACCATTCAACCGCTAGAAGCCAGTTTCTTCTATAAACGTCCGTTACAGCCCATCTGAAGTTACCGCGAGAGAGACTTGTCAGAGACACTGTACAACCGGAAGGCTGGAACCCTGGCCAGAACCCCGAGGTATGGCTGCGTTTGCCGTCTCCCCCGTGGAATGGAGCTGTCGTCTTGGCATGCCATTGACTAAGGATCTACATTTAGGAACTACGGGGAGTCCTCCTGATTTGAAAAAAAAACCTGTACAAACAAAAAGCATTAATGCACTTAATGAAAAAAACCTTTGCATGATAAATTAACATCTTAAGAGGAAAAGAAAAAAAGCATGTTGTGACAGAAGAAAAAAAGATTAATGGTAAACTATTTTTATAAATTGGGCCACATCCCGCAATTTAAAAAATCTGCATTAGAAGTTATCAGTGCACTTCTAGTACATTTACCATTCAACTGAAAAGGAAAACAAAACCAAAATTTTCTTCTCATCTATAACTTTCATTAGACTAAAACATGACTGAATTCTGGTGGCAAGCATCTGATTGACTTTCCTCTCACTCATAATATATCATTCACAGTTCTTGGTCATAATCAAGTATTGCCAATACAGTAAATTATCTCTGACACAATTATTTCCATTTCTATCACTTTCAGAACAAGTTGCCATTTTTAGTCACAAACCATGCAGGGTTGGGACACCGCAAAGCATTTTCCAGCTGGTTTTTCTCTGCAGGGGAGCTGACTGATAGGTTTGGGAAACTGGACTGATTCTAGGCACAATGCATTTAGCGTGGAGGACTGATTTCACACCCTCTGGTTTCCGTTTCTGAGGTGGTAGTCTCAGTGCTCCACTGGTGTCCTTGTCTGCCGGTTACACAGTATATTACTGTTCACGCCCAGCGGGTCTGCAATCCAAAGGTGCTCCTGCAGCCGGACACTCAGAGACCAAACTGGTCCTTCTCTTCAACGTGATTCAGTAAAACCTCAGTTAATGTTTTGGGAAAGGAATTCTGATTTCTTACATTTCTGATTAACAAGGGCTTTCATTAGGAAATAATTTTGGTTCAATAATCTTTATAAAATATAGTGGTGTTTTTGCTACCTTAGTCACCATTATGCACAACAGAAATACATAGAGAGTTTATTGATACAAAACCAATAATTCTGCCGTTCATTAGACTAAGTGATATAAAGTAGAGGGTTATTGTCAATAGATACCAAATACCTATTCTTTATTTAAAAATGTCTTCATCATGAAATAAAGACCATCCTTCACATGACAAAAGGCATCTATCATAACTCAACAGATGACAACTTGAGGCAAAACAAAAGAAGCACACCTGCTGTCATTATTTAACATGAGGTTGGAAGTCAAAAGAGTATATGCAGGTTTAATAATAATAATAATAATGGGTTTGGCTTATTTAATTTTGATTAATCAAGATCTTACAAGATGTACATTTGTGTCTTAAGAATTCAGCATTTCCCTGAAGTCAGGTTCTTTTAATAGCCAAAAATAGTATTTCTTGGGTTTTTTTAAAAAAGATTTTAAAAAATCTTTAGGGAATGTGAAGTGTTACTTCCTTTAATTGTTCTTAGTCATTTTGAGAAGAGCCAAGATGATTGAAAGAGTCAGCTAATGTATGCCAGGATAGCGTTTCTCAGACTCCTTGAATTCGCCCAATGTCTCATGAAAGCCTCTCCATGAAGCTCTCCAGAGTCCTGTGAGCAGTTAGGGTAATGAAATCAGACTTCAAAATGCAACACAATACATAAAATGATATAGTAAAAATGTTAAAGAAACTTGAGACCAGGATTTGGGAAACATTGGAACTACTTGTACCATCTTTTTCAAGGACCCAGTTTTCTGAACAAATATTTTATCATTTCTATATTAAAAAAAAAAAACTTTAAAAGACTAAAATATTAATTTTAGGAACAATGAAATTCACTCCAAAGTGGCACTAAGTACACTATCTCTGAAGTCCCCAGTAAGATCTGATTAACTTGGCCTGTGTTGGGATGTCTCAGCCATGGCTACTGTCCACTCACTCTCCATTGTGGGGACCGTCCTCTGCACCTTAGGATGTTCAGCAGCAACCCTGGTCTCTGCCCACCAGATGCCAGGAGCAACGCCTGAGTAATGACAATCACAAATGTCTCCAGCCATTGCCAAAACTGCTCCCAATTGAGAGCCACTGTTCTACATCATTTAAGGACAGGTTAAGTGTGAATATGTAATATATGTCTAGTATAAAATTAAACATCATAAGTGCACAGTGTCTTAAGATAAATTATTATATCCAAAATTACATGTGTGGTTCATATGCAATAAAATCCTATTTTGAAGAAAGCTTATATGAGTCAGTAAAAAACAACAGTTACAGAATATTTTAAAGCCTACAGAGAAAACACCAAAAAAGGAAGCATAGCATTTCACAGAAGTGCTTAAAACTCTGGCTTTAACGAATAGATAAAAAGTCTATAATTAGCACAATTGGAAGTAAACAGGTGCTTCTGAAATGCTTGAAAAGAACAGGTTCTTTTTAAATTAATCTTTCAATATTGTTTATATAAGCCCCTACAATAAGGTAAGGGTAACTTTATCCCACAAACTCCTGATTAGTGGAATACAAATTAATGAGGTTTTACTGTATCAAAATAATTTTTATAATGCAAAGAGATAGCAATAACAAGAATCTAATGTGGATGTGATTTTCTCTTTGAACATTTCTGTTGCACTCACCTTAGCACACATGTGTGCACGCACGCACGCGCACACATACACACACACATACACAGCATCAGCATCATTATCTTTGGCAAACGAGTACTATTGATCCATGTAATTCTTCACATCTCTCACAACTGTGTAAATGTCTTGCCTCTGTCTTAGAGCATAAGAAAAATACTCCTAATAACTAGACAAAGACAGAGCAAACGACTCTGAGCCTTAGTTGTCACATTCTCTCTGCTAAGGTGGCGTTGGAAAATGAGGTTTGCAAACCACAGCCTCTCCAAGTTGCCCTCCACCCCTCTGACTCCCTTCTTGTTATCCCAGGAGAAAACGGGCCTCTGCACCCCCTTCATCGTTGGGAACCTAGACGCGTTTGTTTTCCTGGTTCTAATAAGCAATAACACTTATCATGAAATGGTCCACTTGTCCTGGAGCTAGGAGGGAAGGATGACTGATTTGTCATTTATTTTAATCCTCCACAAAAGCAGGACTACTGGTTTTGCTTTCTGCACGTCTCTGAGACCCAGAGTTAGTGGCCCAGTCACCAGCAGGGTCGTTGTCTGACTAACTCTGGCAGGACAGTGGCAGAACGGACTGAGCTGTTTCCCGGTAATTCAGTCACAGACATTTTTTCAGATCTTTTCTATGGCATTTGAATGATACAGCTAATAAATTAGGATCCAGGTCTCTAGCCCTCAAAGATAAGGTGACCAGACGTCCCGCTTTTGGTGGGACAGTCCCGATTTTTAACAATCTGTCCTGTGTCCCGCAGTGTTTTAAAGAAGTCCCGATTATTCTTTCCAAAAATCGGGACTTAAAAAAAAAAAAAAATGCCTAGGGATGCGGGACAAATTGTTAAAAATCGGGACTGTCCCACCAAAAGCGGGACGTCTGGTCACCTTACTCAAAGATCTTAAGGGATTGGTTAGAAGGGTGTTCCTTCTATTAATAGTTTGCTGCTGGGTTCCTTTTATGTGACCCATGTGACTAGCTTTAAAGGTACCATCTATCTGCTATCTGAATAAAGGAGGACCTTGACTTTGAAAAAGAAAATTAAGATTAGCTCTTTGAGATACTTGGTTATAAAATGTTTGGTAGAGGGAAAAGGAAGAGGGTCTAGAAAAGTGAACTAAAAATGTTCTCCTTGGTGTAGGATCATTGGGACAACCAGGAGCAAACCTGTGTGGGTACAGCTGCCCCTGTGGGTGGGAGGACATGGGGACTTGACCGCTTTTGTTCCGAAAGGGCCATGCCAGAGCAGTCAGACATCCCCGTCGGGCTCTGCATCCGGAGAGGGACACGAGGAGCCTCCGCAGTGTCCTCACCTCTGTCCTTACAGCCTCAGCCTCATTTTTGACTAGATACCACCTCACACTCACTGGCCCACGTGCTAGACATACTTGCCAGTAAGTTGTGTATTTGGATGCCATCGTCCCTGGGAGCCTGGGTGTCACATAACAGGTTTAGTGTATGTATTTGCAGACAGCATAACCCTGTAAAGATGAAAAGCAGAATAGGTAAGGTCTGACTTGGGAAAAGAGGAGGAAGTGCCAATTGGGGTGGAGTGGGAAGGGACATGGAAGCCAGAGTGTAGGGAGTTGGCTGTACATAAGAATCACCCGAGGAGTTTTTAAAATTCCCAATGATATTGAAGTCTCTCAGAGTGGGAACCAAACATCAGTATTTTTAAAGCCCCCAGGTGGTTTCAGTGTCCAGCCAAGGCTGATGACCACTGCCCCATGGCCAATTCAGGAAGAAATATTTGTCTACCTTGGTTGGTGTCCAAGCCCCACTTCCAAGGGGCCAGGGAAGGCCGGATGTAGGAGATACGGTGTCAGCTGGATTCATATTCCTTTTGTGTCACAACCCAAAACAAACGTTTTGTGCACATTTCTGACCAGCCAGCGCCCCATTAACTCTTAGCTCTTTTGTGATCTCCTATGCAACTTGGCCAGTAATTATTCCGATTCAAACATCTAGGTTTCGATTATCTTCTACATGTGACATCACAAAATATCAGAAATAATGAGAAAATCAACAGCATGTAAAGCTACATGGAAAACCAACTCTCAGTAGTTTCAAAGTGGAAGTACTCAAACAGTCTTACCAAACCAGGTCCAGATTTATTACTCACTCATCATTTGGAGGAGAGATGGATACCAGGTAACAGTTCTGCTATAGGTGTATTTTATTGGACGTGGTCTTAGCAAGGAGGGAGAACAATTCTTCCTTTTTCATTGTTAGCTCCGAGGACCACTTGGATTCATTTTCTTAGTAACTGGACATGCATTTAAAGGGAGAAGAAGGCCTATAACTCACATCTGGCCTCCAGGGCCCTGAAAGAGGGCTTTCACCTCCAGAAAGGGAGAGTCTGCCTAGCCAAGGCAACAACATTCAGAACACTCACAAGACTTCTCTCCTACTGCTCCCCCGGGAACTGGCCCGCCCTTCTCAACTGCAAAGTCAGAAAGTAAACTAGGTGGTGGTTATGGACAAGTGTACACAGGATCAAAATCTTTAATAACCTATAATTTTTAGTACTTAATTATGTGATGTTTTATTCTAGGAAATAAGAAACAGATGATATCATTGATGTATCTTTCTTTCATCCTCAGAATTTTTGCATCTTTTCAGAAAATGACAAAATACTATTTTTCTGTTTCACTCAGCAATTGTGACTATACTTAAAATTCTTGTAGTCTGTAGAGATATCAATAAAATTGTATATGTTTGTACATAGATGCTCTCTTATGTTATGATGTGATGAACTACTGATGATTTTTGTCAAGACTAAATATGGACAGTGGTAAGACCCTCATTTGCAACACCATGAACCATAGTCTTACAAATTATAATTATTTTTAAAAGGCAGGGAGATGGGTGGGGGAGCAATGTACATAATATATATTTGAACTAAAAAACAACAACAAAGGAATAAAACAAAATACAAATTCCCTAAACTCAAAAAGAATAGAAATAGCCATTCAAAATTATTATCAAATTGGAAAATATGTAAACTTTTTAAAATTTCTTATTGATTAAGGTATTACATATGTGTCCTTATTCCCCCTTTGCCCCCTCCTCCATCCTGATTCATACCCTTATCCCCCTGTTGTCTGTGTCCGTTGGTTAGGCTTATATGCATGCATATAAGTCCTTTGGTTGATCTCTCCCTTCACCCACACAGTCCCCTACCTTCCATGAGGTTTGATGTTCTGATTGATGTTTCTCTGTCTTTGGATCTATTTTTGTTCATTAGTTTATGTTGTTCATTATATTCCATAAATGAGTGAAGATCATGTGATATTTATCTTTCTCTGCCTGGCTTATTTCACTTAGCATAATGCTCTCCAGCTCCATCCATGTTGTTGCAAAGGGTAAGAGCTCCTTCTTTTTTACAGCAATGTAGTATTCCATGGTGTAGATGTACTACAGGTTTTAAATCCACTCATCTGCTGCTGGGCACTTAGGCTGTTTCCAAATCTTAGCTATGGTGAATTGTGCTGCAATTAACATAGGGGTGCATATATCCTTTCTTATTCGTGTTTCTAGTTTCTTTGGGATATATTCCTAGAGGTGGGATCACTGGGTCAAATGGCAGTTCCATTTTTAATTTTTTGAGGAAACTCCATACTGTTTTCCAGTGGCTGCACCAGTCTGCATTCCCACCAGCAATGCATGAGGATTCCTTTTTCTCTGCATCCTCGCTAGCACTTGTCTTGTGCTGATTTGTTGATGATAGCTATTCTGACCCTCATTTGCAACGCCATGAACCATAGTTTTTCAAAGTATAATTATTTTTAAAAGGCAGGGAGATGGGTGGGAGAGCAATGTACATCATATATATTTGAACTAAAAAACAACAACAAACAAACAAAGGAACAAAATACAAATTCCCTAAACATAAAAAGGATAGAAATAGCCATTCAAAATTATCATCAAATTGGAAGATATGTAACTTTTTATTGGAAGAATTTGCAGATAATTTTTGAGGATTTGACTGTTTTCACCTTTGGTGAACTCCAAGTTAAACCTTAGCTTGGTGGGAGTGCAGGGAATAAACTGAGGCTGAATGAGATGTACTTAGGGTATTCACACCTTACTCCCTTACTTCCTTTAGAGCTCGCTTTAAAAATAAGCCACTGTGAGCTTATACCACCACCTAGTGGTTATAATGACCATTCATTAACCCAGCACCTCCGAAAGTCCCCCAGAGAGTGCGCACTCCTGCTCTCTGGCTTTCATCTGCACACTCGATGCCTCTTCAGGTATTTCTTTATACTGTTACCTACACTGTGGCATTAGCCAACCCATTATTTTCCTCCAAAAGCTGTTTAATTATTTCAGGAAAATTTTCCCATCACCACAATTTTCCTCCTACTTTTTGTTCTATATTAAAACGACGACAACAACAAAAACACACAACAAAACAAAAAACAAGAAACTAACCCTAGGCTAAAGAAATGTTTTTCGATTAAAAGTACAAATATAAAGACAGATGCAATAAAAATCCAAATGCCCAAGTTTCCCTTCAATCATTTTCTTTAAGGATCCATTAACCTCACTCTCCACATATCTGCACTCAATAGCTGGGACGGGGCCCTGTGGTCCTCACTTGCTAACTCAGCCTCAGGCAGCCCCCCTTTGGGGTTCTCTGTCATGCCCTGGCCCCTGAGTCAAGATGTTCAGCATCTTGATGTCATCACTTTTTCATGAGAATTTTTTTCTTTTAATATGAGTCATTTTTTAACCTTTTATCTTTGACTTTTGAACTTTGTTTTAAAGGCCTTTCCATCTACACAATAATAAAAACATTTTCTTACATCTTCTTCTTCACTTTTTTAGATTTATTTTTTATATTAGTCTTTTAATACAACTGGAATTTTGGGCTAGGGATCTAACGTGATCTTTTGACAAATGGATAACATATTATTCCACCTCTATTTTTGAATGACTCACCTTTCCACCACTAATTTGAAATGACATTTTCACAGACATACATATGTCTGTTTCCTAAATTCTCAAGTAATCTATTTGTCTATTTCTGTGTTCTTTTTAATTTTATTTTATTGTTTAAAGTATTACAAATAGTAGTACATATGAATCCTTTTATTCCCCATTGACCTTCCCCTGGCCTCCCCAACTCCCATCCCCCCACCTGTGTCTTTTGGGATTCATTTTGCTTGGAACTCTCTGTACTTGTGTGCCTTTTTTTCTTCCCTATATCAGGGAGGTTTTCTGTCATTATTTCTTCAAATATATTCTCTAATCCTTGCTGCTCTTCTTGTCCTTCTGGCACCCCTCTTATATGCTGCCTTTAAGAAGATACTCACTTTAGCCTTAAAGAGGCATGCATAGGCTGAGAGTAAAAATATTTCAAGCAAATTGTAACCAGTAAAAAGAAGGGGTAGCTACACTTACATCAGGCAAAATATACTTTAAAGTAAAAATGGTAAAAAGAGACAAAGAATAAAAAAGCTCAGTCCATCAAGAGGATATAACAATTGTAAATATTTATATACTTAACAGTGAAGCATCTATATATATAACACAAAAGCTAACAGAATGGAAAGGGGAAATAAACAGCCCTCAGGGGTGGGAGGCGACCCGGCAATTAGGTGAAGGCAATGCCCCATCACACCTCTGAGGCTTCCACTGCTGGCAGTGCAAGCCTTGGCCAGACCTGGTTACCATTGTCGGCTTGCCTGTGCCTCAGGCCGGCCCTGGGCAACTGGGCAGCCCACATCTGAGGGGCGGAGTGGACTGGGGGACTCTGAAGGCAGGCGGGGCAAAGTGGACTGGGCGCCACCATCTTGTGGCTGTGGGTACCACCATCTTTGAGGACATGGCAGTCAATTAGCATGTTCCCTCCTTACTGGTTGTGGGCACCACAATCTTTGAGGGTGGGGCAGTCAATTAGCATACTCCCTCTTTATTGGCTGTGGGTGCCGCATTTTGCAATGGTGTGAGGGTCAATTAGCATATTCCCTCTTTATTAGATAGGATAGTAGTCAAAACAGCATGATACTGGCAGAAGAACAGATGTATAGACCAATGAAACAGAATCAAGAGCCCAGAAATAAACTCACACATACAAAGTCAATTACCGGTAATATTTGACAAAGAAGCCAAGAATATTCAATGGAGAAGAGACAGTCTTTTCAATAAATGGTGCTGGGAAACTTTGATATTCACATGCAAGAGAATAAAACTAGATCCCTTTCTTACACCAGTCACAAAACTTAATCCAAGATATTTTAAAGACAAAAATCACACATGAATCTGTTACACTCTTAGAAGGAAACACAGGGAAACAGCTCCTTGACTTTGGGTCTTGGTAATGATATTTTATATATGACATCTAAAACACAAGCAGCGCCGGGACTGGTTTGGCTCAGTGGATAGAGCGTTGGCCTGAGGACTGAAAGGTCCCGGGTTCGATTCCGGTCAAGGGCATGTACCTTGGTTGTGGGCATATCCCCAGTAGGGGTGTGCAAGAGGCAGTTGATCGATGATTCTCTCTCATCGATGTTCCTAACTCTCTATCCCTCTCCCTTCCTCTCTGTGAAAAATCAATAAAATATATTAAAAATAAATAAATAAATAAAACACAAGCAGCAACATAAAAAATAAGTGGGTATATATCAAACTGAAAAGCTTCTGCACAACAAAATAAACAACAAAATGAAAAGATAACCTATGAAATGGTAAAGAAATTTTTGCAATCCTTATATCTGACAAGGGGTTAATATCCAAAATGTAAACAGAACTCATATATCTCAATAGAACAACTCCCAAAATAAATTTTAAAATTGAGCAGAGGATCTGCATAGACATGTTTCCAAAGATACACAGCTGGCCAAAAGGCACATGAAAAGGGACTCTGCATCACTAATCATTGTGGAAATGCAAATCAAAATCGCAAAGAGATATCACCTCACATTTCTTAGAATGGCTATTATCACAAAGACAAAAAAAAAAAAAAAAAGCCTAGGTGAGGATGTGGAGAAAAACGAATCCTTGTGCACTATTGATGGGGTGTAAATTGGTGCAGTCACTATAGTAAACAGTATGGAGATTCCTCAAAAAATTGAAAATTGAACTACCATATGATCCAGCATTTCCACTTCTGGGTAAATATCTGAAAGAAAGGAAAACACTTATTCAACAGATAGCTGCATTCCCATGTTCATAGCAGCCTTATTGACAATGGCCAAGATATGTTAACAGGTGTCTATCAGTGGGTAAAAATGCATAAAGAAATTTTGGAACATTCATACAATATTTACAGCCATAAAAATGGAGGAAATCCTGCCACTTGCTATAACATGGATGTGCATTATCTTGCAATATGGATGGGCATTATGTTAAATGAAATAAGTCAGAGAAAGACAAATACTACATGGTCTTACTTAGATGTGGAATCTTAAAAAAACAAAACTCACCCTGGCTGGTGTGCTCAATGGTTAGAATATCTGTCCACACGCTAAAGGGTCTTGGGTTCAATTCCGTCAAAGGCACCTACCTGGGTTGCAGTTTGCTCCCCAGCAGGGGAGTGTGCAGGAGGCAACCAGTTGATGTGTCTCTCTCACATTGATGTTTCTCTTTATCCTTCTCCCTCTCTCTCTCTCTTTCACACACTCTCTCTCTTTCTCCATGCCTCTCCCTCCCTTTCTTCCACCTTCTCTGATAAAACATAGGGAAAATATATGCTCTGGTGAGGATTAAAAACTAC